GCCTTTGACAAGGTCCTGCACGGCAGGCTAGTCATGAAGGTTAGGTCACTTGGGATCCAGGGAGAGCTAACTAATTGGATTCAAAATTGGCTCAATGGTAAGAAGCAGAGGGTGATGGTTGAAGGTTGTTTCTCGGACTGGAGTCCTGTGTGCCACGGGGGTTGGTGCTGGGACCTTTTGTTATTTGTTATTTACAGAAATGATCTGGATGTGAATGTACAAAGCAAGCTTAGTAAGTTTGCGGATGATATAAAATGAGGAGGTATCGTTGATAGTGAGGAAGGTTATGAAAAATCACAGCGGGATCTTGATCAGATGGGGAAGTGGGCACTTAATTTTTTTGAGGATCTTGGGAAACTTTAGTTTCATGTTATAATTGCTGTTGTCTTCTCACAGGATGTAGAAACCATATTTAGTCGTATTGTGGATATCCACGAGTTGACTGTGAAGTTATTGGGCCTAATTGAAGATACTGTGGAAATGACAGATGAAGGCAGCCCTCATCCATTAGTGGGAAGCTGTTTCGAAGACTTAGCTGAAGTAAGTTGTAAGATCAAAACAAAACTCCTGATGTGATTACTTTTTTGAATGAAATTTTCTTAATAATAATTGCTTGATTTTCCTGTTTTATCAAAAAAGCATATGTGCTGAAAAGTGCAGTTTATAAGTAAAAAATTTAATTTTTAACCTCCTGTCAAAATGGAAGAAAATACTTCTTGGACTGTGGTGGTGTTGTACCTTTTGGGGTGGGCTTAGATATTCTCATCAAGTGGTCTGGTCCTGTTGCTGTATATTCTCTGGTACAGAGATACTTGCAACTCATAAAATGTTAAGACCACTTTTGGGGTTTTTCTGAACTGCCCAATATCCAAAGTCACATAACCCACCTTAGATCAGTGTAAAGTGCTGCCTTGAGATCAGACCTCTTGGAAGGTGGATAAGCAATTGTGAGACAGGGTCACAGGTGAATTTCTAAACTGAGTAATTTCATGGTATATACAAAATCTTACAACACATGATAAGGCTATTTGGTCCATCATGCTCTTGATCGCATATTGAAAAGAATTAGCTCATTGTTTTAATTCACCTGGTCTTTCACAGCAGGCCTGAAAGTATTTACAAAAGCCTATCATAACTTTGATTCTGACCCTACCCTGTTTCGTGTCTGAAGCTGATCCAGACAGTTTGCTCTTTTGCCATCCTTTTCATCCTGATATGGGCTTCTGACCATGTTCTCCATCCTCATGACTACCTGTTTTCACCTCCATAACATCACTCCTGTCTACTTCAGTCTCAGCCCATCATGTTTTGAAATTTTGTGTTGTCTGCCATCTTTGAAAATATACCCAAGTCTAGGTTATAAATACATGTTTCAAAGATCCTAATACCAACAGCCAGTATATCTTCCCTTTACGTTTGCACAACATCTTTTCACCACTACCTTATTTTCTATTCCATAGTCATTTTTGTATCATGCAGCCACTGCCCATTTTATCCAATGGGCTTCAATTTTGCTGTCACGTCTATTATGTGGTACTTTATCAAATGCCTTACCTTTCAACTTTGTCAGTTACTTTATCAAAGAATTGAATCAATTTAGTCAAATGTGGTGTTTCATGAATAAATATGTGCTGACTTTTCTTCAGTGTCACTAATTATTGTCTCCAAAAGTTTCTCCCCTGCTAATGGTGGATTGACTGAATTACAGTTGTTGGGCTTATTACTGTCCCCTTTTTGAACAGGAATGTAACATTTGTAGTTCTCTTGCACCACTTCCTTACCCCTCCTAATTTAGTTGCCTTGAGTAAGTAGCTCCACCGTTGATGGCTATTGCTGTCAGCAACCTTGTCCTTTAACCTCTTGAATTTGCTCTCTAACCCTTACCAACTCTCAACAATTGCTTCTTTCATACAATCATAGAATCCCTACAGTGTGGAAACAGGCTCTTCGGCCCAACAAGTCCACACCAACCCTTGGAACATCCCACCTAATCTACAGATCCCTGAACACTACGGGCAAAAATTTAGCATAGCCAATCCACCTAGCCTGCACATCTTTGGACTGTGGGAGGAAACGGGAGCACCCAGAGGAAACCCACGCAGACACGGGGAGAATGTGCAAACTCCACACAGACAGTCGCCCGAGGGTGGAATTGAACCCAGGTCCCTGGCGCTGTGAGGCAGCAGTGCTAACCACTGAGCCACCGTGCTGCCCTCTTTCCTTGAAGTCAATTATTAAAACCTACTTCTTTGACAAAATGGTCAGCCATCTATCCCTAATATGGCATTAAATGGCTTGGTGTCAAATTGTGCTTCATAACACTCATGTAAAACCCTTTGGAACATGATTATTTTAAAAGTGTGTATCAGTATAAGTAATTATAAGTTCCTCTTCTACTCAATCCTGAATCTGATCCCCCTCATTTTGAGTCTATGGGCCCCAGTTATAGTTTTACCCAACAATGGAAACAACCTCCCTGTTTCTATCTTATACTACCTTCTTAATTTTATATGCTTCTATAATATCCTGCCTGCGCCCCCCCCCAACCACCCCCCCCATTGTTCGAAATTCCAATAGTCCCAGTCTACTCAATCTCTCCTCCGAAGCCAAACCTCTCAACTAGAATCAACTGAGTGAGCCTTCCCTGCGTGCATCTGCACCCCCTCCCCCCTGCCCCCGCCCCCGAGTACAAGTACACCCTTTCTCGAGTAAGGAGATGAAAACTGTACACAGTACTGCAGGTGTGGCCTCACCAGTACCTGGGCAAGCATTTCTGATATTCTTTATTGATAGTTCATCCTCGGAAATGGATGGATCCAGAAATAGGAACGTGTTTTTGTCAAAAGCATTATTAATCTATAAATTTAATGTCTCCTTAAATTGTTTGTTTTTGTTCAAAGACTGGCTGCCAGATGAAATTTGAGACCATACTGTGTGCAGAATATAGAGTATTATGTGACCAGTAGAAACAGCACAAGTAGGCCATTTGGTCCCTCAGGCCTGGTCTACTACTCAATAAGATCATGGCTGTCCGAATTATGGCCTTAATGTCAATTTCCAGCCGGTCTCTCAAATCTTCAATCCCCTTGCAGATCAAAAATCTGTAGAACTCAACTTTTGAATTTATTCAATAGTTCAATCTCCACTACGTTAGGATAAAAAAGATTAACAGCCCATGAGGGAAAAAATTCTTCTCCAGTCTTGAATGGGAGACCCCAGTTTGAGGAAGCTAGGGTCTCTGAAGTACCTAGTCCACCTAAGTTGGGGGAAAACCAACAGAAGCAACACTGCTAATGAGGAACAGGAAGGAGGGATAGCAACAACGGAGGACAACCCAAACATCCTGCTTACATGACTGTCGCACAGTCACTTTCATAGGACATTCCTTTCTTTAGTGACCAGGTTTACTATCTCTGCCTGCAGTAATGTATTAATTTGTAAATGCAATGGGTATTCAAGAATATACTGAAGGGCTGGGGCTAGCATTGAGAATTGGGTGGTAAACTCTACACTCTAAATTAGTCTTCTTCCTATAATCATGAGTGGCGTCAGGGGAGTTCAACTGTGGTAACAATCTGGTAATGCCTACAGCAAAACGAAATCTATTTTGACTTTTGGTTCTAATGATAAAGATATGTGATATATTCAACAACCCTACAAACATGATGTGTTTCCTTCTTGGTCTACTCCACCTAAGTCAAAATAGGCTTACTGTTTTTACAGGAATGTGGACTAACACATCTCACTACTTATGGACACTAATCTGGTGAGGACAAAATGATTGCTGTTGCTCCTACCTGGGTATCCTGCTGTAAGGAGGCAATTTTACTGTCATCCAAGTCAAAGTGGTGGCAGATGGTTGCCTGCTTACAGCAGACGTGACATACAAAAATGCTCTGTTCAGGTTTGTAATAACTTCAGAGCTTGGCTCTATTGGTTAACTTAGAAAACATTAATGGTCTAATACAACTGATAACGCTTATTTACTGTGTACATTACACATCCTTAGATGCTTAGTTCTCCGATTCAGCTGCAAGTTCTGTACTCATCCAGATTCCCTGCTCAGTCCCTGATTGAACTAGCAAGTCACATGATTCCTCCCTCAGCGATCATCTTTAAAGGGCGAACTACTACGAGGTTGATCACCATGTATGTCCCTGTTCTAAACAACAATTGGCTGGCTGTCTTTTATCAGCTCTTTGCTGTTGATGCCCAGGTTGGTCAATCTAGGTTGGGGAATAAAAACCAAAAGAACTGTGGATGCTGTAAATCAGGAATAAAAACAGAAGTTACTGGCAAAGTTTAGCAGGTCTGGCAGCATCTGTGAAGAATAAAATCAGAGTTAACGTTTCAGGTCCGGTGACCCTTCCTCAGAACTGGACCAGAAATGTTACCTCTAATCTAGGCTGGGGAGTTCAACTGTGGTAACAATCTGGTAATGCCTACAGCAAAACGAAATTTATTTTGACTTTTGGTTCTAATGATAGAGATATGTGATATATTCAACAACCCTACAGACAGATCACTGCAAAAATACATCTATTCGAGACCAGGTTGGCCTATCTGTTTCAGGATAGGATTCCTGTTTGTGTCCTGAGCACTCAGTCAGATTCAGCATCAAGCCAGTATTCATCTTTGAGCACTGTTTCCTACTGGTTGACTGTCAGAAAGACTAGAAGATTGGCAGGAGAACATGGAAGTTGAATGTGAAACTGTTGATGTCAGAAAATAATGGGGAACTCAAACTTGAGTACAAATGGTGGAGAATTGTGCAACAAACAGATGAAGACGAACATGAGAAGATTATTAACTCTCAAAGGTGTTCTAAAGGCGAGAGAGAGAGAGAGAGAGAGAAAGAGAAATGTCTCGACTCCAGAAAATGAATCCAAATCTGCTTCTGCTATCATGGATAGAGGTCTAAGTTGGAAATGCCGACCAATAGGGACAAGACAGCAAGCCTCACCTTTTGACTCACAGTCTATCCCAATCACCTTTGGGGCCCTGAGGCCACTTTGTAGAACCAGATGAGAAGTGCTTGCATCTCTTCTTCCAAAAGGTACACCGAGCTCTCTGATGAGCAGCTTGAAGGAAGTAGATGGATTGGTCTTGTCATTGACAGCCTGACATAATGGCTGGATCTTATGGGCTGAATCTAGGAGAAGCAAGTTTTTAAAAAATATTTAGTTCAGAAACTTTTGTACTAAGTTTAAAGGAGATGCGACTGAAGTCGGAAATAGGTATTGTCTCCCTAAGAAAAGGATATTGTTTAGAACGGTTAGGGGAATAAGTTAACTTTGTAAAACCCTCTGACCAGCAGTATTTGTTAGAAAACTGCAGGTTATTCAAAGATAAAATAAAGTCTAAACCCTCACTTGTGTGAGGATTCAAGTAATAAGCCTTTCCAGCTCACCAGACCAGAACTGGAAGCAAATGCTTGAAATTTTACAGTTTTAGTTGTATTGGAACTTGTTTTAAAACAACAGAGGGAACTACTGGTTGATTCTATAAGATTGCTATAAAATAGCACTTTCGAGCTATTTCAAAAGTTTTCATTTAAGCAAACTGAAGGATAACCTTATTCATGAAGTGCTTGCTTGTGAATTTATCATCTCAAAGCTGCTCTTAGTTTGACTGATGTCACCTGTTTGCAGATGTTTTGCCTTGTCCAAAAATTGAGTGCTTACTCTTTTTACTATAAATTTTACATGAACAGTGCAAAAATTCAACTTAATTTCCTGATATATTGACAGGCATCTATGTCTACTTTTTTTTCCAGGAGTTAGCATTCGATCCATATGAAAACTATGCACAGGACATACTGCGGCCTGGCTTTCATGATCATTTTCTCAGCCTTTTATCAAAGCCAGGTGCTGCATTCTACTTGCAGGTGAGCATTTCTACAGCTTAAATTCTACCGCTTAAACAGCAACTACAAATGTAAATGTAATTATTTACATAATTTACATAACGAATTGATGAATTTCATTTCAGTCAATTGGTGAAGGTTTCAAGGAAGCTGTGCAATATGTTCTTCCCAGACTGTTACTGGCACCTGTTTACCATTGCCTGCACTATTTTGAACTTCTAAAGGTATGATTAGGAACTATTGTACTTATTTAATACCAATCGTAATTGAATAAAATAAACTACAAGATACATAGATTACAATACTGTTGTGACAGACACAGCATGATGTAACTAATGTGTTTAATTTTTTGGAAAATAATTACTCGTGTCTCAACTCTGGAGAACTGTCGGTTGCAAGACCACACAATAGACTAACTGCTTTCCACACTACGACTGCATGAAAAATAAATGGGTGAAATACATGCTCTAATTGGAGGGCCTTTGTGGCAAAGTGGCAGTGCCTCTACCTCTGGGCTAGGATGTCCAGGTGTGTAATGACAACTGAACAAGTTAATTAGAAAATATCTACACTAATTGATGCACTTGTTGCAATTCCTCACTCTGAAGCTGTGTGAGTTGTCAGATATTTGCTCAAAATTCTAAAGGTATCATGATGTTGATCTTCCAGAATGTAATGTGGACCATCTTTGCAGAATTTAGTATGGCATGGTAAAGAAAACCCCAGGACAGGTATATATCTGAACAGAGATCTTTTGGGATATCCTTTACTCACGTCATCTGTCTAGTTTGAGAATTTGCCATTATTTGCTCAGACCTAACTTTGCTCTGATATTCATCGATGTGGCACCTTGTCAAGACTTCTGAAATTTGCTGTAAATTTTCCATATCCACAACAACATTTGAAAATAACTCTTAGGTTTGTCAAGCTTGGTCTTCCTTCCTAAAATCTGTGTCTACTTCTTATAATTATTTTTGCGGAAAATATAGTCTAGTAATTTCATAATTAACTAAAGATTCTAAAACTTTTTCCAGCATGGATGTTAAATTGCCTTAGTTAGCTTTTGTTTTGAGAATAGGTATTCTGTTAGCATCTTGTCAGATATTCAGTGTGCACCGATGCTCAATTTCTACAGCTTTTTCTTTTGTATTTTCCCATTCTCCTCAGGATCCAGTGGTCTCAACATGTTGTCCTAACGTTTTGCTTGACTAACTTAGTGTAATATTCTGTATGTTTGTTATGTATCTAATTTATTTTAACTTTAAGGATATTTCTTTGCTTCAATATTCTCCTTTTATAAAGTTATTGTGTAGTACTTGTATCCAATCAGTTTTTACCAACCTAATTCTCCCTGAAAATCAGTTTCTACCACTCCTCCTTGAAGTCCCTCCTTAAAATCGATCTCTTTGACCAAGCTTTTGATTGCCAGTCATAAAGTCATGCAGCACGGAAACAGACCCTTCAGTCCAGCTTGTCCATGCCGACCAAGTTTCCCAGCTAAACTAGTCCTGTTTGCGTGCGTTTGACCTATATCTCTCTAAACCTTTTCTATTCATGTACCTGTCCACATGTCTTTTAGATGTTGTAACTGTACCTGCATCTGTCACTTCCTCTGGCAGTTCACTCCACATATGAACCACTCTGTGCGGAAAAAGTTGCTGCTCAGGTCCCTTTTAAATGTTTCTCCTCCTAACTTAAAAATATACCCCCTGGTTTTGAATTCCCCTTCACTAGGGAAAACACCTTTTGCTGTTCACCTTATCTATGCCCCTCATAACCTCTATAAGGTCACCTCACAACGTCCTGCACTCCAGGGACGATAATGTCCCAACCTATTGCGCCTGTCCTCATAACTCAAACCTTCCAGTCCTGGTAACACCCTTGTAAACCTTTTCTGCACCCTGAACAATTTAATAATATCCTCCATATAGCAGGGCAATGAAAACTGTACACTGTACTCCAAAAGTGGCCTCACATGACATGATATTCCAACTCCCATACTCAGTGCTCTGACTAATGAAGGCAAGCATGCCTTCACCACCCTGTCTACCTGTGATGCCACTTTCAAGGAACCATGTACCTGAAACCCCAGGTCTTGGCGAATTTACACAGTACACATTGCTGCTGCTGAGCAGTAGTGAGGAGAAAGTAAATACTTGTGGGTTTGGCGCCAATCAAGTGGGCTGATTTGTTCTGGATGGTGTCAAGCTTCTTGAGTGTTATTGATGCTGCACTCATCCAGGAAAGTGGGGAGTATTTCATTACATTCCTGACTCGTGGTGAACCGGCTCTGGGGAGTCAGAAGCTGAGTTATTCACTACAATATTCCTAGCCAGTAACCTGCTCTTCTAGCTAAATTTATATGAGTTTCCAGTCAATGGGAACGCCAAGGATGTTGATTTTTGGGGGATTTAGTGATGGTAACACCATTGAACGTCAAAAGACATTGGTTAGGTTGGTTCGAGGTATACCTGCCACATAGGAAGATGGTTGTAGTTGCTGGTGATCAGTTATCTCCGCTCCAGGACATCTCTGCAGGAGTTCCTCAGGGTAGAGTCCTAGGCTCAACCATCTTCAGCTTATCAACGGCTTTTCCTCCATCATAAGGTCGGAAGTGGGGATGTTTGCCAATGATCAGACAGTGTTCAGCACCATTCATAACTCATCAGATATTGAAGCAATCCATGTTCAAATGCGAACAGACTTGGATGATGTCCATGCTTTGGCCCACAAGTGGCAAATAACATTTGCACCCCATCTCCATTAATACCCAACCATCCTATTATGCCATTTTGACTTGGTATCAGATGCTATCTTATTCCTGCTATAAAGCAACTTGATGCATTTCTACTGAACTAAAGATATATTTTCTAAATCTTAATTATTGTTTCTCCTATGTTAAATAATTGTCCAACCCAGGAAGCTGATCTGACATTTTTTACTTGTACTTTATTTCTTCACTTCTTAAATAGTTTGTGTCTACATTCCTCCTTTCCTTTTTATATTTAGTGACTTAGTCATTTGTCTCTTTTTATCTTATTGCACTTACAGGACTATGCAACAGCCCTTCATTGGTGTCTAAACTCATATATAAGTACTCATTTTTAGTTGTTTACTTTTTTGTGGTTACTTTTAAAACATCTTATTGTTAGCCAACTACCCTGTGTGCCAATTTTTCTTCCCACTTTAACTTAATACGTTTTTACTTAAGCTTCTGAGAGCTATCATCTTCTAATCAGGTGTCATTGTATTTATTTGTGTTGAGATTTTCCTTAACCCCGTCTTATTAGGGCTCTACTTCTAAAATGTTCACCCACATTCAAGTTACAATTGCATCTATTTTGTTACATGTGACAATTTTAGTAATTCTCTCTTTTTACATATATGAAAATAGAGGGGGTCCTGTAGATACCAAGGCTTAACAACTAACCGTGGATAATGCCAATGAGTATTCAAAAGTATATCTACACAATTCTACTAACGTAAATACTAATGTAAATACTTTTGCATTAAACGGGCTGATTAAAAACAGTCATGGAACCATGGAAAAGATAAGGGAGTGTGTCTGTGCAAGAGTCCTTTGCATCTGCTTTTGCCTCACAGTCTGCTCCGTTTCCAGTCAGCAATCATGTTGGTTACCAATGTCATTTTATTTACTCAATCTGAATACTTTATCATTTTGAATACCATTTAAATTTCCCCTTGCCCATCCCTCTTTCCTGCCAAGCAATTCTGTTTTCTTCAGCCCTGATATATTTATCATAAATTTCCTTTGCATCCTCTACAAAAGTGTTCCCATGATCAAATTCACTATGATGATTTGATATTCTGATTGTCAATAAATGAAACAGGAACTTGGATGTACACTTAAGTCTAGATTCTGGACTTGATAGGGACAGAATTAGGCCATTTTGCCATTTGAGCCCTTTTCCTTTGTCAATGACTTAACTCAATGTCTTTTCCTCCTTAGCTGTTGTTAACAAAAATCAATTTGAGATTTAAAATGAAAACATTATCTTGCATCAATTACTATTTGCAGCAGAAATAAATACAATGACTATCATAAGAGGAAAAAGAGCTTTGGAAACTAGTGAAGCAAAATGCCAATGTGTCCCCTGGACTGAATTGGGTGCATCATAAGATATTAAAGGAGCTAGCTCCAGGGATAATCCAAGTGCTGGTAGTAATTTTCCAAGAATCTTTGGATGTTGGAAAAGTCTGAGGTTTAGAAAACTGCCAATGCAACATACTTCTTCAAAAAGGAAGGAAACAAAAGCAATTATTTGTAAACCATTTAACTTAATGTCTACTATTGGAAAATATTAGAATCTTAAAAGGATAATATAGCAGAGCATTTAAAAATACAATACATTACCAAGCAAATCAGGATGGCTTTATGAAGGGGATACCGTGCCTAACAAATTTATTGGTATTCTTAGAGGCAGTAACAAGCAAGATAGATGGAGGGGAGCCAGTGGAGGTGATGTTTGGTTTTTCAGAAGGTGTTCAATGAGGTACCACACATTAGACTGCTTAACAAAATAAGAGTCTTTGGTGTTGGGGATCATATTAGTATGGATAGAATATTAGTTAACTAAGAATAGGGTGTTGGGATAAGGGACTATTTTCAGGATAGCAGCCTGTTAACTAGTGGGCTGCCACAATAATCAGTGCTAAGGCCACAACTATTTACAATATATATTAATGATTTGGATGAGGAAAGTGAGTGTACTATAGTCAAGTTTGCAGATGACATAAAAATAGGTGGCAAGGCAAGTGGCGAAGATGACAAAGTCTACAGAGGAGTTTGGACAGGTTAAGTGAGTAGTCAAAAACTTGCCAGATGGAATGTCATGTGGAAACATATGAGGATATGCACTTTAACAGGAAAAATACGGGAGCTACATATATTTAAATGGAGTAAGACTGCAAAAAACTGCTGCATAATGTGATTAGAGTCATTGAGATGTACAGCATGGAAACAGACCTTTTGGTCCAACTCGTCCATGCCAAGCAGATATCCTAAACTAATCTAGCCCCATTTGCCAGCATTTGGCCCATATCCCTCTTAAACCCTTCCTATTCATATACCCATCCAGATACCTTTTAAATGTTGTAATTGTAACAGCCTTTACCACTTTCTCTGGCAGCCCATTCCATACACACACCACCCTCTATGTGGAAAAGTTAGGTCCCTTTTTAAATTTTTCTTCTTTCACCTTAA